ATATCTGGGCACAGGGTCTTTTCTGAGACTGACACTCAACCAAGGACCATCTATGGATATAACCTAGAACTTCTGCTCGGATGTGGCCTGTGGTAGCTCAGTAACCAAGTAGTTTTCCAAAGTAAGGGGAACACGGACTATTTCTAACAGGATCTCAAGGGCAGGCTGTTTGACACCCCCCCCCCCCAGGGGAGGAGCAGTCTGTTAGGCCACAGAGGAGGACTTTGCAGCCAGCCCTGAAGATACCTGATAAAACAGGGTCAGATGAAAGGGGAGGAGGTCCTCCCCTATCAGTGGACTTGGAAAAGGGCAGGGAGGAGACCAGGGAGGGAATGTGGGGTTGGGGAGGGAATGAGGGAGCAGGATACAGCTGGGACACAGAGTTAACAAAATGTAACTAAAAAGAAAATAATAATAATAATAATAATAATAAAAAGACTAGTAAAAAAAAAAAAGAATTCTTTAATTCTCTGTTAGGAGGTTCCAGTATTGGTGGATATAGCGGATACTGGTTTTACAATACTGGACACATTTAGTTCTGATAAATTATTTGTATTTTGAATAGATAATATTGATGGTACATGTTTCTTAAGCATATTTTATTTATTTTGTTTTGTTTTAGAGATAGATTTATTCATTGGTCCTATTGTTACTCCACACACCCAAATGGGAGAAACCTTCCATTTGTTTTGCCAGTATTATCTTTGCTTACAGTTTTGTATTTGAACTCAGAGATCCTAATTTGCTTTGGCTTTCATGGAATCCTTTATTCAAATTGGAAATATTTCCCTGTTCCCCTTACTAGAGAACCCACTTGGATACTGAGCTACCATGAGCTACATCTAAGCAGGGGTTCTAGGTTATATCCATCCATGGTCCTTGGTTGGAAAAACAATCTCATGAAAGACCCCTGTGGCCTGATATATTTGGTCCTTGTGGAGCTCCTGTCCTCTCCAGGTCTTACTAACTCCCCCTTCTTTCATATGATTCCCTGCCCTCTGCCAGAGTTTGGTTATGAGTCTTAATATCTGCTTTGATACACTGCTAGGTAGAGTCTTTCAGAGGCCCTCTGTGGTAGGCCCCTGTCCTGTTATTTGTATGGCAGTCTCTTCGCCCCCCCCCCCCCCCCCCCAGGAGCAGCCTTGCTAGGCCACAGAAGAGGACATTGTAGCCAGTCCTGAAGATACCTGATAAGCTAGGGTTTGATGGAAGGGTAGAGGTCCTCCCCTATCAGTGGATTTGGAAAGGGGCAGGGAGGAGATGAGGGAGGGAGGGTGGGATTGGGAAGGAATGAGGGAGGGGGCTACGGCTGGTATACAAAGTAAATAACCTGTGATTAATATAAAAAATAAAAAAAAATAAAAAAGTACATTTCCCCTGGGGGACGGGGGGAATATTTCCAAGGGTTTGTCTTAGTGTTTTGTTTTTTTTTTGTTTTTTTTTTTTTTGTCTTGTTTTGTTTTGTTTTGTTTTATTGCTGTGGTAAAATAATCCTGATAACAAAGTAAGACAGAAAGGGTTCAGTTTACAGTTTAAGGCAATACTTCATCTTTGGGGTATTTCAAGGCAGCATGATCTTGAAGCAGATTGGCACTTTGTATCAAGATCAAAAGCAAAGAGCAGTGAATGAACGCCTGCATGCCATATGGAACTCACACTCTGTTGTGGTTTGAATATCTAGCACAGACTCATACGCTTCATGCTGAGTCCCTAGTTAGTGAACTGTTTGGGAAGGATTAGGAAGTATGGCTGGGAGGAGGTCTGTCACTGGGGCTTTCTATTCCTCTCTCTCTCCTCACATTCTCTCTCTCCTTCCTCCCTTTCCTCCTCTCCTTCCTTTTCCCTCTCCCTCATTATCTTTCATTCCCTCTTCCTCTTTGTTCCTGTTGCTTGTAGATCTAGATGTAAAGTTCTCAGCTACAGCCATGCTTGCTTGCTTTCTGCCATAGTGGTCATGGCTTAACCCTTTGAAACTAAGCAAACCCCTAATTAAATACTTCCATCTATACCTGGCTTGGTCATGGAGTCTCCTCACAGCAATAGAATAGTCATTAGGACACTCACCTTTTCATTACTCATAGGCCCCAGTCCAGGAAATGGTGCTGCTCACTTTGAGGGTGAGTCTTCCACCTTACTTAGCCCACCTGCGAAAACCCCTCATAGACATGCCTGCAGGCCACACTTGCCCAGATACTTACTTACTGCCATTCTCTTCCCAGGTGATTCTACTTAGTATGAAGTCTACTATCAAAATAACAATCTAAGGATTGTACAGATGTTATAATTGGATGCTCCTGCCTTCTAGATTGCAAACAAGAGTCTGTACAGAATAGGTCACACGATTAAATAATATTTTAGTAACCTATATTTTTCTAGCTCGACCATTTTTACTAGCATCTCAAATGGTCTCTAGACATATATCATAATCTCACTCTTCCTCAGACATGTGATTGTTGGAAACAGTGCAAATGCTCTTTTGCTTAATGTACTTCTTTCAAAAAAAAAAAAAAATCAAACAAACCAAAACAAAAAACCCAGAAGCCTTTTGCAGTTTACAGAATGAAGCCACAATCCTATTTCTCTCTAGTAGTCTTTTCTATCCTTATTGTCTGATGTGAAGCTTTGATTCTGTTAATGATAGGAAATATTTGAGAGTAAGTCATCTAAGTTGTTTCTGTTATCGTCCTGCCTTCCTCTGTTTAGTCTAGCTTATAATTTCAGTCATTTAGACAGGCCTGTTTTTTTTTTTCCAGATATTTCCAGTCACACAAGGTTCTAGTTCATTTTCTCCCATTTTATGAATGCAAGTATAAGGCGCTTGTAAGGTTTTGCTTCTGATTTATATACTATCATTTCAAGTCTCTTTCTTTTAGAGGCCTCTTGAAGTAGACAGTGTTAGCTATATTTCTGTTACTGCAGCATCTACCTAAAATACTGAATAATTGAATAATGTAGTTTGTTCATGACATGGGTCCTGTGTGTCCTGTTCACACAGGTGGCCAGAGCCTGTTATTATTGCCCCTTTCTGTTTTCTGAGGATTTGATGTCCCCATGTATCTAGATATTATAATATTCATACTGTAAATTGATCTTTAAATCTCTGCTGTGAAAGATAAAGCTTTAACTCATTTTACACTTAAAGTATTTATCATTTTAAGTCCCATTAATGAACAGTAACAATACAGGATAACATCATTGTTTTCTGTGCCCTGCCTATAGATGTTTCTGCATTATCTGCTTTATGATACAAAAATTGTAAACACACCATTTCCATCACTTCTTATCCTCTACTTGGACATATCAGGCCCTCTTTAGTGTTATGCTGCCATGTTTAGAAGTATTTATAGCCTTACTGCAGTTAAATCTATACATATATTATGTAGATTGATTTAAAATAATAGAAGGAATTCAGTATTTGGATCTGAGTAAGTGTGCTGTATTGTACTTAGTGTTTATGAACAGTAAACTTGTAATTCGAAGTATTCCTTCCTTTTAAAAAGTAAATCTTCTGTTGATCTTCTAACATTGTAGTTTGCAATTCATACAAGTATAAATGACATGGTAATACATTCAGTAATTGGTTAGCTTTACCTGAGAATTACTTGTTCTGTCAATGGCTCTGTTCATTGTGTACTGAAATGTTTTTGTTTTGCTCCATTATCTGTTTCAGGCAGGCTAATGAAGAATATCAAATCCTGGCTAATTCCTGGCGTTATTCATCTGCATTTTGCAACAAGCTGTTTTTTGGAATGGTGGACTATGATGAAGGGACAGATGTTTTTCAACAGGTAAAACTATATGTTATTTTAAAATGCATACTTAAGTTTGTCATTTCTGATATATATTGATTATAAGATAAAATACAACTCACTGAGTATGTTAGTAAATAAGTAATTACAGTACATTCCATGATGTGCTTAAAATAGAGTTAAAATTTGGACACTTTGTTAATCTTGTCATTACAGTTTTTGCCTTTTTACTGTAGTAAAAGCAGTTCATTTCCATTTAGAGGAAGTCTGCTTTTTAGCATACAATGGCCCAATACATGCATTAATCTTGATATTATATAGTGATTAGGTAGTATTTCACACAGGCTTACAGCATTTCATATAGTACTAAGTGCAACTTACCTCTTTTTATGTGTATGTGTGTACATGTGGATATGGGTATACATGCATATGTGTGTGTGTTTGGAAGCTAGATATTGAGTCAGAGTATTTTCCTTTTGCCTTCCACCTTAGTTACTGTTATTCTTGTGTGTACATGTGTGCAATGATGTATGTGTTGGTATACATGCTATGACTTGCATGTTGATGTCAGACTACTTTGTGGAGATAGCTCTTTGTTTTCACCTTTTCATAGTTTTGTTTGGGGGAAAAGGGGTTTTGAACTCAGGTTGTCTGGTTTCTTCAGTGAGCACCTTCCTGATCCTGCTTGGGCTCGTTTTTAAGATAGGGTTTTTCACTGGCCTTGGACATTGCAAAATTGGCTTGGTTAGCTGGCCATCTGGCTCAGAACTATCATGTCTCTAGCCTGGCCTCAATGCTGGGCCTGTGTGTGTTATGTGGGGCATGTGGCATTTTGTATAGGTGCAGGTGGTATGAGCTGAGGTCCTCAAGGCTTCAGTAGCGTGTGCATTACCCATTTAGGTATATTTTCTACATCAGCAGCTAGAATTTTATCTCTGAAAATACTCTGTATTTATCAGAAGTGTTTTCTCCCAGTTACAGACTAGATTTCTACCACAAATGCCAGGGTTAAAGGTACACATCATGTGTGAGCGTATATGAGACAGAACATTAAATAGGTTCCAAGGATGAATCACTAATTAGTTTCATTCTTTTAGGAGGAAGAAATAGCAGGAGGACACATGCTCAAAGATAGGCAGTGGGAAACCTGGGAATTAGATGGTTTCATGTAAGCTAGGAAAGGAAGCTTCCCCAGAAACCTAGCTGCCTTGATCTTAAATTTTAATTTCTAGAAATGTCAGAAAATAAACTTTGTCTAAGTCACCTACAAGATGTGTAGACTTGTAATACACTCACATGAAAAGTCTTCTCAATAGATAAAACTTGGCTTTGGGCATAAGGATGCTAGTCATCTCTCACAGTGTTGTCATCATGAATCCTGACACTGCTTCTGTTACCAGAGCATTGTGAATTCTTTAGTTCTGCCTCTCAATGAACCAGTCAGAGATGGTTGTGTTGCTATGATTATCACTTGGTTAGAATGATAAGTATTGGAATGTGGAATAAGATACAGTCCTAGTGAACAAACACATTTTACATCAACACATTGTATGAAACAGTTTTGGGGGAGCAGAAAACAAAACATCTCTCCCCTGATAGAGTACTGGTGACTAACTAAAATAAATGATTCTACAGAAATCCATCCTGGGAACCTGTGTGCTAATTGAAGTTACTTCTAGGAATATGTTTAAGGATTTTCTTATGGGAGCATGGAAGACTTCATGGTACATCATGGATAAGTGATGATCCATGAAAGCTGCAAACATACAGTTCTTTCATGACTTGCATGCAGCTCGACAGGTTGGGCAGTCTCCTTCAGACAGCTCTATTGCCAGAGCCTTTTCTGCCAGCAGTTGCTTTCTGCTTTTATAACCATCTGGAAGGTCCTTGGGAATCCTGTAACTTTTAGATTTCCAGCTTTTTAAGGTTGTTTACTGCCCAGGTCTCGTGAGTCTTTCTCTGTTCTCAAGGAGGTATTATTTCAACTCGGAGATGATTTTTTGTATGATACATGTATACTTTGCATATACATATATGAGAAATGCACAATATATTCATGATATGGTGTGTGTTGTATGGTATATGTTGTGATATGTTAGAATTTGTCAGGTTTTTACCGTAAGAACTAGTTTTATAGTTTAGCTTTATAATAACTTGTTCAAAACTTCTATTAAGGTTATTTCTAAAACAGTTACTATAGAGTTGTTTTCAAAGGAGGAAGGTTCTGAGAGCGTTGTGCTGTTGTAATGATGGAGTGTAGGGTCAAAGATCTGAGGTTACATTCTAGGTTTAACTCTTCATTGCTGAGGGACTTGAAGATTTCATGATCATACTGTGTTCTGTCTCCATATGCATACAAAAAATAACATTTGTGATTACTAGAATGAGATGCTAATATGAAGATGCTTAGTTGTATTCTTGATATATAGGGGTTTATTAAATAATTACTATTGTAGCCATATAAATTAATATTGGCATACATTTGTCATCCTTCTCATACTACAGTATTTTTGCACATGTTGGCTAAATGGTATAGAAAGAAGAAAAAAATGGAACAGATAAAAAGCAAGAGAAGAAACAGCAAAAACTGTAATTCCCGGGAATATTTTATGAAAATGCTGTCTTAGAATGTGCAAATGTAAGGATGACTTAGATTGGATAGTTTAAAGTGAACCAAATATATTTACTGGCTTGCAGTTACTAAGGAGACCCAACTTTGATTTGTAAGCATTTGAAGAGTACTCTTCTGCTCAGCTGTGGGAGGCAGAGCATGGAGGGGACAATGAAGAGGGAAACTCAGCCTTTTACATAGATGTCCATCCTCCCATTGAGGGATGAGTGCTCCTGGCCTCATCATTACATGGAGGTCTCTTTTCAGTGGCAATTTAAGAATATGAGGTGGTTTTGTTTTTGTTTGTTTGCTTGCTCTTTTTGTTTTTTGCTTAACAAGAGGACTTAAGATAACTGAGAGCAAACAAGGAACATTTAATAGCATTTGCAATAGGACAAATGAGTAATAATTTTATATATATATTATATATAATATAAAAATATATATTATATGTAATATATATAAAACTATTACTATTATATATAATATACTATTATATATAATATAAAAATATATATTATATATAATATATATAATATAAAATATATATATTATATGTATGTTACTTTTGAGGATTCAGATTGTTTTTGTGCTAAGTTGTTCAAAGAACGATAGTTATTTTGGGCTATTGTGTGACTATGACAGCTACAGCCAGGATTTGCTTATGGACCAGTGTACGTTTTGCCTTGACTGTAAATGTCAGCCTGGACACCTAAGCTTTGGTGATAGCCTCACCTGTTGCCAGCTTTCCTCTATCATGTCATGTGATTGTGAATTTCCTTCCCCTTAAGTGAATCTCTGCCTTTTACCTTTTTTAGGTTTTTTAATATAATCCCCAGATAGCAGAAATTTAATATATTAATACTGTAGTTAGCTTCTGTATCAAACTATCCTATTAAGTATTTTAGGTTGTATTTTATAAATACTAGACTATGGTAGTGTTCTCTTTAGTATATTTTTCTGAGTACGCATGTTCTATGGAAACATTTTCTGTGCTTTAGCCATTTTAAGACAACTAAATTATTAAGTTGAAAAGAAAATGACTGTCAGGGATTTCTCTTATTTCTGGTGTATTGAGGTAAGTTATTTAGAACAAAAATACTTGTTTCTCTTGCACACATTTGAATATCAACTAAAAAGAATAATGTTTAAATTTCAATAGGAAATTGGATTTACAGGTAACTGTAATGTGCTCCTTGCTTCTGCCCAATAACTGCTGAGGAAGTGGAGTGATCCACGTGCTGACAGCTCACATTATTTCTGTTTGTACTTCTAGGCATTTTGCATCATCTTAATCATAAAAATTTAGAGAGACAAAATACCGAACTGGGAATGTGAATAGTATGTGAAATGTGATAGTTAAGGCAGCTTAAGCAAATTTAGCCATTCTTCTTCATTTAATAGTGCATCAAGATTAGTAAAAATAGAAATTAAGCTCCAGAAAACCGTGTAGCTTTTCCTAGTAAACCCTTTCTTCTGGAAATTCACACAAAAAATATAACGTATAAAAATATATAAAAACGTATAAAATGTTGGATGAATAATATAGACTATTGGGGTGTTGTTATAATTAGCATTTTATCACTTGCTTTACAGCTCAACATGAACTCCGCTCCCACATTCATGCATTTTCCTTCAAAAGGCAGACCCAAGAGAGCTGATACTTTTGACCTCCAACGAATTGGATTTGCAGCTGAACAGCTAGCAAAATGGATTGCAGACAGAACAGATGTCCATGTATGCTTTTATTCACTAAAGTAAATGTGTGTGTGTGTGTGTGTGTGTGTGTGTGTGTGTGTGTGTGTGTATTATACATACACTATCATATAGCTTGCTTTGCTAGACTGTTGTAATGAAGGGGCAGGGTTTGGGGTTTTTTCATTTTGTGTTGTTTTTAGTTTATCTATGGCCTTTGTTATTTTTCCTTGTGTAGAGAAAAATTTGTTTTGCCATGGTGAGGACTGAATTTGAGCTAATGTCGTCTGAATATATATTCTATTGCTCACTCACTACATTCCTAGTCTAAGAAAAATTGACTTAACATCTGTGACTGTTAGTTGAACATTGGTTAGTCAATTCAGATGCACTGTTGCATGATGATCAATTGATAGTCTAAACACTAAAAAGTGTGTTAGTTAGATACAGTATATTTTCAGAGAATGGAAAATAAAAAGAAAATGGCTAAATATTATTGAGCAAAGAAGTTCTAACCAAGAAGCAAGAAGTAAAGAAAAAAACAAAAACCACAAAAACCCGTGTATCTTATATAAGTTGGAAAAGATTGAGAGCTCACCCCCACATCTAGGGCCAGCTTTACTGTGGGCTCAGGTGAGGTACAGAGCCTGCTCTCCCAAGTGCTGTAGCCCGTGAGGGCAGGGTCAGCTCTCCTGCCTGCCATAGGTGGCAAGGGGCGGGAGGAGGCCCATCTCTCCCTCAACTATGTCACCATATGGTACCTAAGTGGTGGGGCCAGCTCTCCCACGCTCATGCCTCAGTGCTGCCTTGCTTGTGCACCCACCACCAGTATCAGCTCTACTTTGCTTCACAGGCAAGGTGCGGGACCTGCTCTTCCGAGTTCTGCAGCTGGTGAAGGACAGGACTAGCTGTCCTCCCTTCATGACCCCCAGGCCAGCTCTCTGGCTTCCTGTATGTGGTGAGGTGCTAGGGTGTGGGAAGTTATTCCTTCCTCACCCATGTCACTGCCTGGGAGATGAGAAGGTCCAGCTCTCCTATGCTTATATATAACCTCATGGCTGTCTCACCGGCAACTCCCGAGTTATGTGGGCCCCTGTTCTCCTGAGTACTGCAGGTGGCTAGAGCCAGTGCCAGCCCTCCTACTCTCATGCCCCCAGGGCCTGCTTTTCCACAATGCCCAGGTGAGGGATTGGGTGTGTTCTACACAGCTCTTAGATGTCAAAATGTCCCCAGGTGGCTACCCAGACCAGGCATGTCTGCCTGGTCTTTGGTGGTGACAGACTCCTGCTACTGCAGGGCCATGGGCCAGTCATGGCCTCTGGTGGCAGCCCAGGCCAGGACCATGGTCCCGGTGGCATCACTGGTTACTCACATGAGGCTGTTTCTCACTACCCCCGAGTCTGAGTCTCCAGATTCATTGTGCCCATATCCTTCTGTTTCTCTTTCTTTTCCATTTCTCCACCACTTACTTGCTTGTCCTGTTAGTGACACCCAGGGTCTCTGAATGTCTGGGGTCATCAAGGGTAGTTTCAGGTGTTCTGTACCCTGCTTGTACACCAGGGTCAGCTCAGGCATGGTCTGTTCCCCCAGGCCTGCGTGGTTCTGGACTGGTGGTCATATCAGGCTAGTTCCCTATCTGGGCCATATGGTGCCTGTCTGGTGATTGTGTTGGGCTCACTCCTTGCCCAACCCACCCAAGTTGCCCCTTGCTAAGGTCTTCTGCCTTGGGTTCACTCTTGCCTTAGCCAGAGGTTGCAGTGGGGTTCTTCTAGTTTCCAGTGTGCTCCTAATTTTGGGAGTCTGTCCAGGTCTGCCTGGTAGTAGACTGGTGTTCATCTCAGGCTAGCTCCCTCTCTGACCCCTGGTGCTGGACTGGTGGTTCTCTCAGGCTCACATTTTTCAGGGAATGTTGGAATACTAACATTAAGATGTTCCCAGGTCAGAGCACTGAAATTAGACAGCCTCCCCTCTCTGCCACCTGCTGACACCTGTGACACAGCAGCCACACCTGCAGTATCTCTAGGGGCAGGTCCTCTGCATACCTTAGGTAATTAAACTTAACAGTGCCACTTCAAGGAATTAAGCTTAAGGATGATTCAGATTCTTAACCCTGAAAAATTTTAGCAACACTCATTTTAATGGAAAAATTGAAAACCAATCAAATGTCTAAAAATAAGACTTTTACATTGAACAAAACTCATAGTTTAACAAGTAAAATGTCACTTGGAAAAGTAATATGGACACAGAGATATGGGATTTTGTTTTAAAGCAATATTGTTTTATAGATTGAGACAGATCATTTATTCTGAATATAATTTAACCAAAATTATGATAGGTACTAATTTGTCTGTAGAGTCCTGCATGTTCTTTTAATTATTTACAATGTCTTTGTGATGAGCTATAAAATAACTGCTTATATAATTATAAGATATATAATCTTATATAACTGTATAAGTAGTTCTATTATAAGTATTTTTAAAAGTTATTCATAGACACTGAAGTTTTACTAAAAGGTATAAACACACTTTTTGAGACAAGATAGTTGTCTTTTGGTAATACCACCTTTTACCTACATGATGTTATTACCTGTGTAATTGGTTTTAATAATACTTTGATGAATAAATTGGTTCCTAAATTTGTTCCTTTAAAAATATTTTGGTATGTAATATACCAACATGTATGATCCAGTTGGGGTAAAACATCAAGGATTATGCTAAAGTATTATTATTAATTCATTCCAAGAAGTACTAAGATTTGTGCTGGAAAGGAAGTATAGCGCATAAGCACCCTTACTGTTCTTACAGAGGACTAGAATTCACTTCTTTTCTTTTAAATCAGTTTATTCTGTCATGTATTACTAAAAGAAAAGTATTACTATTTATTTTTCACTCTTACTTACGATTGTACTTTCTGCAGATTCGAGTCTTCAGGCCACCTAACTACTCCGGCACCATTGCTTTGGCTCTGTTAGTGTCACTTGTTGGTGGCTTGCTTTATCTAAGGAGGAACAACTTGGAGTTTATTTATAACAAGACTGGTTGGGCCATGGTATCTCTGGTATGTTATCGCACATCCTGTACCTCTTTCCTTGTATAGTTGTATTTTATAATAACAAAGTGAGCCAGATTATTACTGCAGTGAAAATCACCAAAACGAGATGTGTTATTTTTATAAGTAAAATAGATCAAATTTACCATTGAGCTTAAGCTATGTGTATGGTTTCTATTTTTCACTATTAAAATAAAATGACTCTAGTATATGGCACATTCCAAATATTAATGAAATGTACTTGAGCATATTAATAAGTGTGGTAATGAGTTAATAAGAATTTGCAGTTTGAACTAATTTGTGAGCTGAGATGATTTTGGTATATACTCATTCAATTTTTTTTCCCCACCAGTTGTTTCTCATATCTCCACTGTGTGCATCCTTGTTACACACTGGTTATATAAAAATGAGACACAGTCCTCTCTGTAATGAACCAGTTGTGCGGGTACACACTGGTTAACTCATACGTACATACAGATACATACATACACAAACAGTGCAATGTTGTACATGCTGTTGTGGAGACCAACAGGGAGAGCTGTAGGTATACGGGGGACATGTACCTAGCCTGCCTGTCCAATTTCCTCTTCACGTCATGTAATTCTGAATTGTTATGGCCAGTGAAAGGAGACATGGTGCAGAACAAAAAAAAGTGGACTATTTTATCCAACGTAGCCAGAGCGGGAAACGCACGGAGTAATTCTAGACACATGCAAAGTAATTAAACTGATGTTAGAATGTTTATGCTTCCAGAAATAGGCACTGACTGAAAGTGGCCTTGGAAGATGCGTTCAGATGATACTAAGACTAGTTCATAGAACATGTTCTTACTTCATGTTTTACAAAGTTGGGTTTTTGTCTGTTGCTAACATCATTTATGCTTTAAATATATATATATATATAGTTAACTAATAAAGGGGCCAGCAAAATGGTTCAGTGAGTAATGGCTTTTTCTGCTGAGATAGTCCACCTGAATTTAACCTTCAGCATCCATACACTAGAATGAGAATGCCAACTCCAAGTTGTCCTCATACCTCCACTTACATTGACACTCTGTTCCCCTGAAAGAGTAAATGAAAAACATTAAGAATTAGTGGAAGTGAAATAAAACATGAAATACCTTAAAAGTGATATGATTACTAGTTAATACTTGAATTAATTAAAATATTAGTGTTAAAGTATAGGTTATAGGGATGGAGAGATGGCTCAGAGGGTAAGTAGCGCTGGCTGCCCTCTAGAGATCCTGATTTCAGTTCCCAGTACCCTTCATTATATGCTAACAACCATTTATAACTGCAGTCTCTAAGTGTTGTCGCGTGGGATCTGATGCCCTCTCCTGGTGTGTATATGTATGAGCAGATGAATCACTTATATAAAAATGCAAAAATATGTCTTAAAAAAAAACCTCTCCAGTTTAAAAAATACATTATAGAGGCACAGAATCTATGTCACAGAAATAGTCTTAAGCTATTACTAGAAAATAAAAAAAAATATTTCCTAATATATGAAGGATTATTAATTTTTCACTTCAGTTAATTTCAAATATATGATAGGAAAGGAAAGTAAAATTTGTAACAGTGCTTTAATGGACTGTATGGCTTATTACATATGTGTATATCTGTAAATGCTAGGAATACCATATAAAGGCCAACTTGGTTTTGGCTAGACAGTTACTATGACAAGTTTTTCAGTGTCACATTTAAATTGGAGGGGATTAGTTGAAGAACTATGTTATATCTTCAGAGGAACAGTAGGGGAAAAACCTGAGGATATAGGTAGAAATATAAGTTGTCAAGGGTTAAAGTGGAAACTAATCATGTAATTAGAACAGAAACAGATATGAAAGGAATATAGGGAGAAAGCCACGTGACATACAAATAATGAGAGACATAAGTTCATCACATCAGTGTATCTGTTACATCTATTACATTATGTGCAAACAGGTTTAGTATATAATTAAGAGGCAGAGATTGCCAGACTGGATCTAACAATGCAGTAGCAAACTGGCCTGGATACTGCCACAGGAAGAACAATATAAAGGCCCTTAGTGCTATATACATACATAAAAAGAGACTTAAGTGGAGGTACATGTATTCAAGAGCATAAGATTAATATTATGTTTCATATTTCCTTCCTATTTAAATGATAGTTACATTCCTAGAGGGCTTTTTTCTTTTAGAAGAAATCCAGAAACTGGTTCTAAAGTTCATATAAAAAAGCCAAGAATTTAGAATATTGAGGTAGGTTTTTTGTTGTTGTTGTTGTTGTTGTTGTTGTTTTTTAAAGAAAAAAAAAGTCAAAGGCCTTACATTAGCTGATTTTTTTTACTTACTGTAAAGCTGTTATAATTAGAATTGTAATTAGCCTGTAGCTTGATAGCTAGATCATTGTATCAGAAAGCTGGGAACTGAAACATTCCACACATTCCACACATGTTCGGTTCACTTTTGAACACAGGTGTTAATAAAAACAAAAAGTACAGGCTGGCACAAGTAATACTGGAAAATACCCAAGTACAAATAATAAGTCAGGCAACTGAACTCACATCTGTGGAATGTACTCAGTGGCTTATGGGTCCATTACAAGACCTTAACTGACACTTCTAGAAGAGCACAGAGAATTGTGTACTGTAAGATGAGTGAATACGTAAGTGGAAAAGGGTGGATTGCCTTTATTAACGTTGAAACGTCCTGCTCTTCAAAAGATGCCCTGAGAAGTAATCCATACTACACAGACCAATTGAAAATGTTTGCAAAGCGTATGGTAAAGGACACATATTTATATATGTAGAGCTTATTGGTGATCTGATTCCTTAAGACGGAATAAAAGCCTACCTCCATTTCCGCACTGTGACACCATTATAAAATGGAGGGAATGTAGACTGTACAAAGAAATGTCAAGGGCTGATGGTAAAGGAATACAGACATTCAGAATTATGTGTAATTCGCAGAGTGTTGGCAATTTTTTATTTATGGGATTGAATTTAGTGTGGATCAGAAGGGAGCAGAGATAATGTGAGGGTAAGGAAATCTGAAGAGCTAAAAGAAAAGGGGGTCTTCAGGCTCAGCTTGTTTCTTAAGCTTCTTTCTAGTGTTCTCTTTCCTTGCTTCGGAGCCCCCTGGATTCTTGAATTGACGAGCAGTAAGTGGCAGTGAAAGTAGCTAGCTGGCTTTGTGCCTAAATGGAGATTTTCACAGAAGAAATGTCCTTAAACCAGTGAAGAGCTACAGGCATGTTCCTGGCTAGAACTTCTAGCTTGGAGACTGAGGACAGGACCCAGAAGGGACTAGTTTCTTTCAGTCTGTTTCTGTAGGAAAAGATCTAACAGTTCTGAGGTGGCAGGCCATTCAGTTGTCTTCCCCATACCCACCATTGGTTGGAACCAAAGTAGAGTTTGTGTGTAGGACCTCGTTAATACCTGATGCCACATTTTTGGCAGGCTATCTTCAAAGCAGGAATGCTTGAAATCTACCTGACCTACCACCGCATCATGAAGCCAGACCTAAGTGTCTTCCAGAGACTATAGGAGTGGAGTTGTCCCAGCCTTTGCTGTTGTTGTCTTAGAAGTGCCCACTTAGGATGTTCTGAAGGACAAATTTGTAGCAGCTCACCCTGTAGAGCATCAGAATGAAATTGCACCTTTCATTCTGAAAGGGAATTGATCCCACTGCTAAGTTCTCTTAAGCCTTTTCATCATGAGTTTTACATTTTCCCACATGGAAATTGTAGGTACAAGTTCATATCAAGGGACCTCTAAGGGCCGATGGTCCTTGGGTATAGTGTCTGTTTGGTCCTGTTTTTGCAGGACCATGAGAGCGTCTTGTGTTGTTTCCTAACATTTTTAGAGTTCATTTTCTAGGCTTCTCATATAGCATATTTTGAAAGTTGACTAAGAATGTGGAGCTAGCAGGAAAGACAGACCTAAAATTTTGTATACACAATCCACAAACACTACCCAAGGCCTGCTAATATTGCTGGTGTGGTGTGCTTTGAGTCCCTATGACCAGTTTCTAAAGTGCCTATGAGCCCCTCAGAAGAATTCATAGTTTCAGTAGCATTCCTGAGAATGTTTTTACTCTCCATGAACTGCATCCTGCTCAGTAACTAACATGTTCACTTGCTAATTTGTTGAGTTTCTAGATCAATTAAGACAGGTAGCAGAACTATGTAGCAGCCTTTACTCACTGAGTGAGCCAGTGTGAACACCAGATAATGAAGAAAGCAGATGTAGCACCAGGATGTTTCCCGCCACAGAATAACACTGGGCAAAGGTCATGTGACTTCCATGCCCAGCAAAGAATTTATTTTGTTTTGGAGGAGCCTTTCAAAAAACAAATGAATTTTGGGGTTTAGTTGGTTAGGCAAGGTATAGTAGTGAGAAAGTCCTATGTGAGAGTAGAGAAAGTTATTCAGATGAGGTCTGCTCAGCCAGGTCTTCTAATAATGTTCCATTGGAACTGATAAATGCCTTATTTCAGGACCTTGAATCAACCAGGGATTCTGTATTGGCATCCTTGAATCCCTGATTACAACTTTCTAAAAAACTATGATGGACTAACTGCATACCAAGTCGGAAGGGCACGCTACCCTTCTCTGCTATGAGCCCTTTTAATTACCTATCTCAACCTTGAAAGATGAACACATAGGCTTGTCTTGGAGCCAAATTCTTCAAATATTAAACACAAAGCTAAGGTGGCTGGAAGGCAAATGGAATTTAAAATGTAAAGAAAGAAACTGATTACATTATTATTATGTAATGATTAAATGCAGATGAGAAGTCTATGCCTTTGGCTTTAAGGATGCATGTAGGTTAAAAGCAAAAGACTAAAAAGGTTCTATATCATAAATGGTAATCAAATGAGAGCTGTACTTACAGTATAAAATCCAAAAGAAAGATGTGTATTATATAATAAAAATGAGCAAATGCATCAACACTTGTGTAATATGTACACCGCATTGGAAGATCTCAGTAAAAGAAGCAGTGGAAGTAGTGAAGGAAATAGACAGCC